GACCTAAATATGGTCTATGTGATGTTGGAAAACTATTAAAATAGAGACCTAAATGTGGTTTATATGATGTGCACTATGGAAAATAGCGACCTAATTATGGTCAGTGTGATGTTGGAAAAATATGAAAAAATAGGAACCAAAAAGTTACAGGGAACGGCTAAAAAATAGGCAATTAATTTATACTCGTAACAATACTTTTTACATCGGTTTTGGCACGCAACCGATGTAAAATACCCACCTTTTACATCGGTTTTTCCCCGCAACCGATGTAAAAACACCCTTTTATAATTAAAATTTACAGTTATAAATTTTTTTTCACATCAGACTTAAAAATTTAACCGATTTGATTGGTGTATTTCTTACATCGGGCCACATAACCGATGTAAAATGTCTTTGATTTACTACATCGTCTGGCTTTACATCGGACTAAGACCCGATGTAAAAAGTCATTTCTGCACTAGTGTCTTAATCCTTCTACATCACTTTCTGTTGATGAAGGTACCCTTTTGGATGATCCTTCTACCTAGAGAAGGCTGATTGGTAGGCTGATTTACCTCACCAATTCCATGCCAAACATTTCTTTTGCAGTGCAACACTTGAGTCAATATGTGTCCAAGCCTCGTGTGCCTCATTTTCAAGCTGCTACTCAAATTCTTAGATATTTGAAGTCTATTCCAGCTAAAGGCATATTGTTTTCCTCTTCTAGCAGATTACAACTATTTGGTTTTGCTGACTCGGATTGGGCAAGATGCCCTGATACCAGAAAATCTGTCACCGGTTATTGTGTTATGTTAGGATCATCCCTTTTATGCTGGAAATCCAAAAGGCAACACACTGTTTCAAGGTCTTCCACTAAGGCAAAGTATCGTGCTTTAACTTCAATTACTTGTGTACTCCAACGGTTAAAGTTCTTGTTCCATGATTTTCTTGTTCACTTTGACCAGCCTGCATCTGTGTTTTATGATAGCAAATCACCTATCTACCTAGCTCACAATCCTACCTTTCATGAGTGTAGTAAACACATCGAATTAGATTGTCATGTAGTTTGTGAGAAGATCAGTTCCAAGCTCATACATTTACTTCCTATTTTTACTTATGACCAGTTGGTAGACATCTTCACAAAACCTTTACATTCTCCTTCATTGAAGAAAAATTTAGACAAATTAAGAGTTTGTAGCATTCACTGCCCAACTTGAGGGGGGATATTAGCATACATATTGGATTATTTCTCTTTTATGTTTATTATTCTTAACTTGTAGATGATTGACACATGTCATGCTTAGTTTATTCCTAGCCACACATCTTGTACATGTAATGTATATATTCTTCCTTTGGATAATGTAAATAACAGATCAGTTTTACAGTTAAGAATTCTAACTGTGTTTTAACATACTTTTCTCTTCTTCTTCTTCTTCCATGAATTTTGCTTCCATCTTCATAATCAAATCTTCTAGTTATCTTAATATTGACAGTTATCTTTAACTCTCATTATTTTTTATTGAATAAGTCACAATCAATTCTTTCACTTTAGAAATGAATCTCACATAAAATAATAGGAATTAAACTTATTACACTCGATAAAGGAGTAAATGTTAAAAGAGGTGTTAGAAATAGATTGTTCCTGACATTTCTTACAAGATTCATATAGACCCGTTTGTTTTAGTTTTAAAAAGTAGATTTTTTTCTTTTGTATTTAAAAAATAATAATTTTTATAAAAATAAATTTTAAAATATTACAAATCTTTTAAGTATGTTTTTTCTAAATTGTAAGATTAATTTTGATATCCTATAATTTAAATATATATATATATATATATATATATATATATATATATATATATATATATATATATATATATATATATATATATATATATATATATATATATATATATATATATATATATATATATATATATATGATTGAATATCAAAACATAATTGAAATTACAAAATTTTTAAAAAGTTATATTTTAAAAATGATTTTAAAGAAAATCTATTAGAAATAATTTTAAAATTAAAAATATTTTACGAAATTTTGATATTTAATTTTTTTTCAGTAAAATATTAAAATGTCTAAAATAATATTTCAAAAATAACTATTCAAACTAAATTTTCATGCTTTTATGAAATGAATCTTTGTAAATATTTTTTACACAAAAATATGTAATATTGTAAAAAAAATCATTTTAAAAAAAATAATTGAAACAAACAATGACTTAGAGAGTTCGTTTGTTTCAGTTTTTTTTTTTTAATTTATAATGTTGAAAAAAATTTATAAAGAAAATTTTCAAATGAAAATTCGGTTTAATAATTATTCTTAAAATATTAGTTAGGCATTGTATTATTTTATTAAAAAAAATTTGAACGTCAAAATTTTAAAAAAAATATATTTAATTTTGAAGTTATCTCAAATAGTTTTTAATAAAAATAACTTTTATAATACACTTTAAAAAAAAAATTATGACTTCGATTTTGTTTTGATCTTCAATAATGTATATTTATGTAATAAAATATCAAAATTAGTCTTTCGATTTTGAAAAAATAAATTTAGAAAAACTTTTTATATTTTAAAAAACATTTTCATAAAAGTTATTTTTTAAAAAGACAAAAATAAATCTATTTGTTTAAAAGCTAAAACAAATAAACTCTTAAAGTTTTGAATAAATCTATGATCACTGGTGAGTTGTTGGTCTAGCTTGGTCCAACAATTGACTTACTTTGCCACTCCTAATTGAGTTCCAATGATAACAATTTTAATCATGTTGAAGTATTTCCATGGAAGTGGATAAGGTGTCTAATTATAATCAACTTTTGTGTGATGTTTATTGTTTAATTTTCTTTCAAATGCGTTTGAGTGTCACAAGTAAGTCCCATGTCATGTACAAAATGATATGATTCCGGGAACTTCTCCCATGGCTTTGTTAGCTGTATTCTTATACATTTAACTTGGCCTTCCTTTTAATGAGAAATAGATAGAGAAGGATGTAACATAATGATCAATTATGTATCATGCATTAGCTACCAATAACCTTAACTAACAAAGCCCACAAATTATTTCACAAACTACCAATAAGAAATCAATAAATTTTCAGTTTGCATTTTGGGTTTTCTAAGATAATGAAATGGAACAAGAATAGAACAAGAATGACATCTGGTGCCACCTAAATTCTTGTCTTTGACCGTTGAAAATGAAGCTTACAAATAATAATGTTTTGTCACCCACCTCATGTTTCTTTCAAACACTTATATTTTACATGTTATAATTAATGACAAGCTTTATGGTTCAACTAATATTGGAGCTTAAAATACTGAAAATTATATATATATATATATATATATATATATATATATATATATATATATATATATATATATATATATATATATATATATATATATATATATATATATATATATATATATATATATATATATATATATATATATATATATATATATATATATATATAAATCTGAATCATTAGATTTTAAAATAAATGATGGAGATTATGTGTCAGTTGTTTTTTCTCTCCTTTATTATTTATTTTAATAACGGAGATGAGAAAACAATAAAAACCACACATAATCTCTACCATTTATTTTAAAATTTAATGGTTCAGATTCATTCTTATGTTCTCACATAAAAATGACATTTTTATAAAATAGTGATCGAAATAGGGTGGAATATCTTTCAACTTGTAGTGATTGAAAATTTATATTTGTAACTATGAACTAAATTAAGCATTAAACCACTATGGTAAAAACAAAATATTTTTGAATGAATTAATTTTAAAAAATTAATTTCACTTAAAAGTGAGTTGATGGTTATGTTTTGAAGCATTTATGTAAAAACAAGTTGAACATTAATTTTTATTATAAAAATCAAGTTTATATTTAAAGTTTACAAATCTTAACTTGAAATGAAATTAATTTTAAAAGAAAAATTGATTTTATTTTAGAAAAAATAAACATGTCAAAAATAATTTTACATTTTTAAAACTATCTTATTATTCAACATGTCCAATTTAGTTTAATTTTCTATAAGATTAAAATTTTAGAACACTATTTTAAAATCTTATTTATGTAAATGGTGTGATAATTACTAGAACCGCTGCACCAATGTCCGTAAAAAAACAGGGCAAGGTAAATTAGACAAAATAGATGAAACATATTATAAAATTTGTCTCAACCCATTAAAAATGGCAGGTCTAACGAATCCGTTTTATCATTCTTTAAGTTTGAAAGTGATAACATAACAATTTCTTTAAATCAGCACAAGACAGACGAATAAAGGAAATGAGACGGTTGAAAATCTTGTCCTAGTCCAACAAAACTGACAAAATGGCAAATCCAATTTATTTTGTCATCCCTAATTTCAATACATTCTCTAAAGACATCTTTAACCCTTAACTTTGCTGTCATAACTGTTTTTTCATAAATTTTTTAAAGGTTGCCTTGTAGTATAATATAGTACTTGTTTGAGAGTTCTCAAAACGGTAAAAGAATAGTACTACATTACATTGTATGCATGATGAAATTTTCTTAACTTTAAACCAACAAGAAAAAAACTTGTTTGAAGATGACAAATTTGAATGTTTGAAACTCTTTCTTTCAAATACCAATTATCAAACAACTACATCAAGCAAATGAGATAAAATCAAAACAATTTTGTAACATTGGAACAAATCTTCACTCATTAAGAATACAAATGTCACTGCCAATGAAATTTTCATTTAGCATATATATGTATATTTTACAATTGAAAAAAAAAAGTAGTGTTAATATTTCCTTAGTCAAATTCAGAAACCATCACTTGCCAAAGGGATTTAGATAGATAAACCTCACTATGATCAAATGTGTCAAACTCAAACCCTTCCTTCATATCATGGTTTTAAGGAGTAGTCGCGGTTGCGGTCGCAGATACATTGCAAACTTTCGCGAAAACTTCTAATCTCTATATATTTCAGTTGCAGACCGCAATTTAAAACCATATATTTTTATCTGATCAACGAAGTTAAGTGCTCAAAAACAAGTTCATCACAAGGAATTGTAAGTCCCATGTCATGATTGAATCCAAATTCTTCCTCAGCTATTTGAAGCAAACACTGAAACTGTGGATGAGGCAACCATGAAATTGGAACAATATACCTTGTTCTGTTTTCTCCAACATAAACAACGAAGTGACCTTTTGGTACATCTTCAGGATGACCCTCTTCATTGTAACCCTGTTTTTTGCCGAAACTTGAACATCGTTTAAGAATTTGCTTGATGATAACATCAGGTTGAGGTAGCTTGTTGGATTTTCTAATGGCCATTGTTGTGTTTTTCTTTCTTTCTTGTGAGTAGAAAGTTTTGAATGTGTGCGGTGATTGTTGAATGAGAGAGGGTTTTATTTATGGTTGAAGAATGAGGAGTGTGGAAAAGAGAAACAGAGTTTGAGAAAACAGAGTCACGTGGATGTGGGGACATGTAGCAGACCGTACCTAAATTGTTTCTATATGTCAAAGGATTATAGCTGCCTTTGAAAACTTTGAAAACTTGATATCCCAAATTTTCGATTAATTTAAAAAGATCAATTTTAATTTTTATAGAAAATGATCCATTTAAAATCAGAGTATATCTCTGTATGAATTGATCTAACATATAAATTATTTACGTCTAATAAGATTTGAATTTAAGATCTTAAGAGGAGCACACCTTTAAGTCAAATCTTCGTCAAAATACCGATTGGTGGTGTGTAAAAATTTGAATATATAATATATCGTTGTGGTGTGTGTTGGTATTATATGTTGTTTGATAAGGCAAAACAATGAAGTATAAGGCTAGGATTAAGATGAATGAGGTTTTAACTTATTATTTAGAAGGGAAAACAAGTCACAAGTGCAACCCCACTGGGCTTTCTCTTGTCTTTTGCTTGACCAATAAACACTGTGGGCCATTCTTTTAGTTTGAAGGGTTGAGGGAAAAATAAAGAAATTTTTCAAACTATTTTGAGAAAATGTTTTAATAGAGAATAATAAATAATATTTATTATTAATATATTTTTAATTTTAATAGACTTTGGTGAAAAATAGAATTTGGTAGAGAAAATATCCATATATTATGTGATAGGAGAAGATTTAGAATATGTGTATTAACCCAATTATTTATATATTTGAAATAATAATGCAATATTAGTTTTGTATGTTTTAGAAAACATACAAAACTGAAAAAACACCTATTATAAAACTGAGAAAATAACATATTATCAACCTAATCTCTCACATTATTAATATTTAATGAGCCGAATGGAATATATTTACCTCAATAAATTATATGTACTATTTCTTTTTACAATGAGTGATTAATTTAATAATTTCACATAGATTAAGAAAAACATATAAATAAAAGAGAGATAACAATGCTTTTACTCAAATGTCCTATATTGAGAATGATGAAAAGTGAAAGTAGTAATTAGATGGTAGTTTTGAAGAAGAAAATTAATATTGCACTAAAAATTGAAAAAGATCATTTTTAAGACAATTATTTTATAAATGAATCATTCATTATGAAATAAAAAATGTATATTTGTTTTTCAGAAGAATCTAAGGGAGGATCTTACACATTATAAATGATACATTCATTACGGCCCCAATCACATTTGTTATTGTTAGAATAAGTTTGATTTTACGATTATTCTAAAGTTTTGATGATAATAAAATGTAAGAGAACAATTTATTAGATCGCAAATAAAGTTTTTTTCGATTAAAGTTTTATTTTAAAAGTGATTTATCATGGCAAGTGAAAGTAAACCTGAATTGATACTCGTTTATCCCAAATCGTTATATATATATATATATATATATATATATATATATATATATATATATATATATATATATATATATATATATATATATATATATATATATATATATATATATATATATATATATATATATATATATATATATATATATATATATATATATATATATATATATATATATATATATAAATAGATAGATAGATAGATAGATAGATAGAGAGAGAGAGAGAGAGGGAGAGAGAGAGAGAGAGAGAGAGAGAGAGAGAGAGAGAGAAACACATGTGCTCTTCACGCTCCTAAGTCATGCTCTCACTAACTGGTCCTCCCCAAACCACCTTCACAAAGGAAGTCTCCTTACCACGTAACTGCTTCACTACTCGACCCTCTATCTGCATGGGTGATGCCTCCACAATTAAGTTATTTCTAACCTGCACATCATCTGCCTAGATTACATGGGACGAATCTGTAATGTATCTTCTCAACTAAGACACGTGAAACACATCATGAAGATTAGCAAGCGACATTGGAAAGCAATTTGATAGCCCAATCCTCCTATCTTCATAATATGGTATAAACCTATGAAACGTAGAGTAAGCTTTCGAGACTTCAAATATCAACCAACATAAGTTACTGAAGTAACTCTAAGAAACACATGATCTCCCTCCTGGAACTCAAGTGTTTTCCTTCGTTTATCATTATAACTCTTTTGGCGACTCTGAGAAGCTATCATCTTCTCCTGAATCACTTTGATTTTCTCTATAGTTTGTTGGACAATCTCCAGTCCAATCACAACACTATGTCCCGACTCAAACCAACATAGAGGTGTCCTACACTTCCTACCAAACAACGCCTCAAACAACGTCATTCTAATACTCGAAGGGAAACTGTTGTTGTCAGTAAACTCAATCAACGGTAAAAATCTATCTCAAGCACCTCATTGTTCTAGCATAGAAGCTCTCAACAAGTCTTCTAAGGATTGGACAGTCCTCTCTGTCTGACCATCTGTCTACGGATGATAAGCAAAACTCAAACGTAACTTCGTACCTAAATCCTTCTACAAACTCTCCCAGAATCATGACGTAAACCTCAAAACTCTGTCAGATACAATATTGGATGAAATCCCATGCCAACTGACAATCCTTTCAATATGCAGCTCTACTAACTTCTCCAACGGATGGCTAAGTCGAATTTGAATATAATGAACCGATTTAGTCAACCTATCCGCAATAACCCAAATAGTATCATAAACCTTCATTGTCTTTGGAAATCCAGACATAAAGTCCATCAAAATATTGTCTCATTTCCACTCAGGAATAGATAACGGCTGCATCAAACCTGACGACTTCTAATGCTCAACGTTTGACTTTTGGAAAGTCAAACACACATACACAAATTTAGCAACCTCCTTTTTCATTTCAGGCCACCAAAATATATTCTTTAAGTCTTAGTGCATTTTTGTAGCACCGAGATGAATACTCAGTCCACTTCGGTGTCTTTCCTTAAGAATATTCTTCTTAAGCTCATGCACATCAGGAACATAAACTCTATCTCTGAATCTGACCACACCATTTTTGTCGATTTTGAATTCACCATTCTGACCTTGATTGATTAAAGCTAATCGATCCATCAATCTTAAATCCGCCATCTGACCTTCTTTAATCTCTTCAAGAAAACTATTAGCAAGCTTCATCATACCCAATTTCACACTTTGCGGCATGACTTCACAAAATAAATTCAAATCCTAAATTCTTCAATTAAATCCAACTCTCTCGCCATCAAGGTCGACATATGCAATGTCTCTCGACTCAATGCATCAACTACATCATTGGCTTTACCTGGGTGGTAATTCAAACTAAAGTCATAGTCCTTCAACAAATAAAGTTATCTTCTTTGTCTCATATTCAATTCATTTTGATCAAACAGGTACTTGAAACTCTTATGATTACCAAACACTTCAAATCTTGAGCCAAACAAATAACATCTTTAAATCTTAAGTGTGAGCACAAGGACAACTAACTCTAAATCATGCGTAGGATAATTCTTTTCATGAACTCTAAGTTGTCTCAAAGCATGAGCTACAACTTTTCCATTATACATCAACATACAACCCAGACCCATCTTGGAAGCATCAGAATACACGACAAAATATTGAGTTGGACTCGGCAGAATCAACACTGGATTTGACATTAACTCTTCTTAAGCTCTTGGAAATTCTCATCACATTTCACATCCCACACATATGCCTGACCTTTTCTAGTTAGCTGAGTTAATGGAAAGGCCAACTTAGAAAATACTTCGATCAACTTTTGATAATAACCAGCTAATCCAAGAAAACTTTGAATTCCGGTGATAGACTTCAGAGTCTCCCATTGCAACATAGCCACGACCTTCAAATGATTAACAACAATACCTCCATTAGAAATCACATGACTTAGGAAACTCACTTCTCTTAACCAAAACTAGCACTTGGAAAACTTAGCATACAATAACTTCTCTTGCAACAGCTTTAACACAACTCTCACATGTTCATCATGCTCTTCATCCATCTTTGAATCAATCAGGATATCGTCGATAAACGCTACTACAAACTTATCAAATACTGATGAAAAATTATATTCATATACTCAATGAATACACAATGAGCATTAGATACACCAAACAGAATCACTGATACTCATAATGATCGTACCTCGTTCTAAATGTAGTCTTCGAACTATCTTCAACTTTCACATGAATCTGATGATACCCTGATCTTAAATCAATCTTAATAAAAACACAAGCACCCACTAACTGATCCATTAAATCTTCAATTCTCAGAATTGGATAGTTGTTCTTGATAGTTACTATGTTAATTGACAATAGTTGACACACAACCTCATACTATCGTCCTTCTTCTTAACTAATAACACAGGCGCACCCCAAGGCAAAACACTAGGCTGAATGAACTTCTTCTCGAGTAAATCCTCTAGCTGCTTTTTTTTAATTCGATCAACTATGAAGCAGACATTCGATAAGGAGCCATTGACACCGGACTCGTACCTGGTACCAATCTATAGAAAATTCCATTTCACACTCTGTCCACAAATCACGAACATCCTCAGGAAAATATCAAGAAACTCATCACACTGGCATATCACTAGCCACAATATTGCCTCCACTCTCAAGGAAGTGAACACCATGAGCACCTGATCATCTTCATCTAAGGACATCTCTACTCTACAAACGAACATGAATCTCAAATTTGTACTCCTCTCCGACTCGGGAAACAACACAGCTTCAACAACACATGCGCTCTTGAAATCAGCAACACACTGCACCAACTTTCCGCACTTGGAACACCTCAAAGAAGTAAAAGCTTCTCCCCACTTGTTTCAAACCCGCCCCTGCAAACAAATAGTTATAAAAACAAACGAGTATCGACAATGTTTCACACATATGTCGCGTACAAAGGAACAAACGACATGTTAAAAACATGGTCGGATGGACCGACCTGCTCTAATAACACTA